GTTCCTCGCGCCGATTGCAGACGCTGCGTCCGCGCAGGGGGGGGGTCTTTGATGCAGTGCTCGGTTGACCCTACCTCTGGCGGGCCTAAAACGCTGCAGCGCTACGCCGACATCCACCGCGTAGAGCGTTTGGCGAGCGGCCACCCAATGGTGGTGACGGTGGAGCAGCACAAACCTATGAAGGCGCTGGACAAGTCGAAGGCCGACAATTTTGACCGCGCCGTGTCGTCCGAGCACTGCGGGGCGATGATCCCGTTTGACCTCCGTCTTTCGCTGGGGCCCCGCGCGGCGAACGGCGCCCGTAAGGGCCTGCTGAGCTTGTGGCGGGGTCCCGCTGCAGAGTGCAAGCTCGCGCGGGAGCAAGAGTCCCTGGCGCTGGCGGAGTTTTTTCGACTTAGCGGAAGCAGCCCGCGACAGCCCCACCACGTGCGCAGCGGACTACAACGCTGCCTCTGGCGCGTCCGCCGCTGCTGCCCCAGCCGCGCTGGCGAGCGTGAGCGGCGGCGCCAGCGTCGCCGCCGGCAGCGATAGTGCGACCTCGGGGCGCCCTGCAAGGGGCAGCGGTAGCGCGACCGAGGCTCGCGTCCCTGGCGCTGCTGCACCCTCGACCTCGACAGCTGCGCCGACGCAGCTTGCCTTCGGCGGGCGCGCGTGCTCCGCAGGGGCACCGGCAGCGGTGACTGCGGCGGCGGCCGCGCCGCTGACGGCGCCAGCGGTTGCTGCGGCCATGGCCCCGCGCGCCGCGCCGCTCCTACCTGCCTCTGGCGGTCATGCCCGCGCGGCGGTGGCGCCCTCGCAGGTGGGCTGCCCTGCGCCGCCGTGCCTGACGCCCACGGGGGCGCCCGCGAAGGCGCGCGAGCCCGATGATGTCCCGGCGCCGGCGCCGCTCACGCCCGCGCCGCCAGGCGTGCCGGTGCGTCAGCCACCTCCGCCGCCGCCGCCAATGGACTTTTCCTCAGTGGCGCACTTGCCCCCGCCTGGCGCGTGGTACGCTCCGCGCGCTCTGCCGGCTGCCCCTCCGCTCGCCGCTGGGGTCGCCCTTCCTGCTCCTGCGCCTCCAGCTGTGGCGGCTGGGGGCGCCCCTCCGGCCGAGGACCCGGCCGAGGAGGGCGACGCCGGGGATAGCGGGCCAGAGGTTGAGGGCGAGCTGGCGGCTCGCGGCGAGCCAGCGGGGAAGGCCCGATGGGTTCGCCGAGCGCCGGGCCAGGCCTCGCTCCAGAAGCCGGGCGAGACCGCGCGACGCGGGCGTTGTCGCTGGCGCGCGCGACGACGAGGATAGCGAAGTGGACTTGGCGACTTATCTTTTGGGGGCGTGAATTGCTCGGTTGTCGGATGCGCAGAAGGCCGAACTTAGCCAAACCGTCAGAAAGAATTGGAAGCACCAGCACTTCTGCGATAGTAGGAAGGGCTGGCAGGCAAACGCCGTCGCTGCCTCTGGCGCGAATTGGCGCCTTCGGCAGCGCAGGGAGAGGGGCGCGCGAGCCGCGGAGGGCGCGCTCGGCTTTTACTGCGACCCGACCCCTCCAGCGCAAGCCTTTCTCTCAGGCATCGCCCGCCGGAAACGACGCCCGAGACAGCGCAGGGCAGTTGCGGGACGTTGCGCGATTGTTTCTAAAAAGGTGCACTGCAGGGCGCGGCTGCGGGGGGCAGTCTGGGGCGGCCGTGGCGGCGCAGCCTCTGGCGCCCCCTTTCTGCGAGGCATGCCCAGATGCCGCGCTCGGCGACGGTTTGCGGCGCTGACGGCCGAGGCCTTCGAGGCCGCGAAAGTTGCCGCGCGTGTCGCCACCGACGACGAGCGCATCAAGCACATCCTCAACAAGCGCGACGGCGAGGCGCGGCGCTGGGGGGCTCGCCGGTGGACGCGGGTGCCATATGACTATGTTGACAGGCTCGCCCGCGCGCAGTTCTGGCACTGCCAGTTCGCGAAGACCAGCGACGTGCGTCGCCGGCTGCATTGGCGCCGCGAGAACCAGTGGGAGGGGGGCCTACGGACGGCGGGGATCAATCGGATCCTGCAGGAGGAGGGCGGCGAGACCACACTTCCCAAGCGCGAGTTGGTCTTCGGCGCGGGCGGCTCTGCCTCTGGCGAGCGCGAGACGTGGTATTTCAGGGGTGGTAACCGCGTGGCGCTGGTGGAGCTTTTTAACTGCGGGTGCCAGTTGCGTTCCTGCCACTCCCCGCGCAGCCTGCGCCTTCGACGGCCGATCTTTGCGTCGAAGAAGCGGCGCGCCGATTCGACAGGCCAGTGGGGGCTCCCGTGGGGGCCATGGTGAAGGCGTGGCCTGGTGCACTTGCTTCTGGCGGTGGCCCCGCTGGTGGACCTGCCTCCCGCGGTGGCCCCGCGGTCGCGCGCTGTCTTGGGCGGCCCTTTCCGCCTGCGCGAACGCGAGAGAAAACGCGCCGTCGTCATCGCCGACGTCATCGTCTTCGCCATCCGCGTCCACATCATTGGCATCATCACTCATCATCCTCATCCTCATCGACAGTCACCGCAGTCATCATCGACACCAGTCTCGTCATCACCCCCATCATCATCACCCCCGGCGCCTTCACCATCATCACAATCATCATCAACGAAAGGTCATGTTTACGTTTTTGGCTGGTCTTGTTTAGTTTCTCTGTGGTACTGTTTCGTTTTCGCGTTGTCCTGTTTACTTTGTGCGTGGTCCTGTTTGCTTTGTGGGGTGGTCCTGTTAACTTTCTGCGTGATCCTGTTTATTTTTTTTGGGTTCTCCTGTTTCGTTTTCCCGTGGTCCTGTTTATGTTTTGCATGTATTGTGTATTTTGTCGCGTGGTCCTGTTTATTTTTTCGGGTTGTCCTGTTTCGTTGTTGTTTTCTCCTGGTCCTGTTTACTTGTTGCGTGGTCCTGTTTACTTTTTTGGGGTGGTCCTGTTTAAGTGTTCCGGTTTCCTGTTCAGTTGTTTTGTGGTCCTGGTTATTTTTCGGGGTGGTCTTGTTGAGTTTCTCCGTGGTCTTGTTTAGTTTTCTCCTGGTCCTGTATACTTTTCGCGTGGTCCTGTTTACTTTTGTTTTGCGCGTGGTCCTGCTTAGTTTCTTTCTCCAGGTCTTGTTTACTTTTCGCGTGGTCCGGTTCATTTTTTCCGGGTGGTCCTGTTTAGTTTCTCCGTGGTCCTGTTTACTTTTTGCATGTCCAATGTTTCGTTCGCGTGGTCCTGTTTATTTGTTCGGGTGGTCCTGTTTCGTTGTTTTTGTTTCGCGGTCCTGTTTAGTTTTCTCCTGGTCCTGTTTACTTGTTGCGTGGTCTTGTTTACGTTTTGGGGTGGTCCTGTTTAGTTGTTTATGGTTTCCTGTTTAGTTGTTTTGTGGTCCTGGTTATTTTTCGGGGTGGTCTTGTTGAGTTTCTCCGTGGTCTTGTTTAGTTTTCTCCTGGTCCTGTATACTTTTCGCGTGGTCCTGTTTACTTTTGCGCGTGGTCCTGTTTAGTTTCTTTCTCCAGGTCTTGTTTACTTTTCGCGTGGTCCTGTTTAGTTTTTTTCCGGGTGGTCCTGTTTAGTTCCTCCGTGGTCCTGTTTAGTTTTTTTTGTTTTTCTTGTCGTGTTTTTTTTTGGGGGTGCCCCTGTTTAGTTTCTCCGTGGTCATGTTTACTTTGTGGGGTGGTCCTGTTTAGTATCTCCGTGGTCCTGTTTAGTTGTTTCCTGGTCTTGTTTAGTTGTTTCGTGATCCTGTTTACTTTTTGGGGTGGTCCTGCTCAGTTTGTCAGTTGTCCTGTTTAGTTGTCTCCTGGTCTTGTTTGCTGTTCGCGTGGTCCTGTTTCGTGTGGTCATGTTTAGTATCTTTTTGGTCCTGTTTAGTTTTCCCCTGTTACTGTTTACTTGTATGGCGTGGTTATGTTTAGTTTCAATGTGGTGTTTTTAGTTTTCTCCTGGTCCTGTTTATTTTTCGGGTGGTCCTTTTTTTCGGGTGGTCCTGTTCAATTTTCTCCTGGTCCTGTTTAGGTTCCTCCTGGTCCTGTTTAGTTTTTTTGCGTGGTCCTGTTTACTGTTTGTTGTTGTCCTGTGTAATTTCTCAATGGTCCTGTCTAGTTTGTTCGTGGTCCTGTTTACTTTTTGCGTGGTCCTGTTTACTTTGAGGGTGGTCCTGTTTAGTTGTGCTGTTGTCCTGTTGTTCAGTTTCTCCGTGGTCCGTGGTCCTGTATAGTGTTCTTCTGGTCTTGTTTACTGTTTGCGAGGTCCTGTTTGCTTTTTGCGAGTGGTCCTGTTTAGTATCTCTGTGGTCCTGTTTAGTGTTTTGCTTGGTTATGTTTAATGTTGGGTTCGTCTGGTTAGTCTCTTTGTGGTCCTGTTTCTTATCCTCGCGGTCCTGTGTATTTTTTTGCATGGTCCTGTTTAATGTTTCGCCTGGTCCTGTTTATTTTCGGCGGTCATTTATGATTTTGAACGAAAGGCTGAGGAAGATTGGATGATGCAGGTTGGGGGAGGGGTTGGATGATAAGGACGGACATCCGAGGAAGAGGAGGAGCAGGAGGAGGAGGAGCATGAGGAGGAGGGGTTAGATGATGCAGGATGAGGGAGGGGGGGGAGGGGGAGAATAGGGGAAATGTTGAGCAGCCAGAGAGGACGAGGGCGATGATCAGAACGAGGAGAAGGAAGACGATGACGATGGGGACGAGGACAAGGCAACAACATCATCACTATCACGATCATCGTCATCGTTATCACTAGCATCATCAGCGCCAGCGTCATCAGCATCATCAGACCCGGGGGGGTGGCATCATATTGCCGCGGGCCCTTAATATGATGTTTGACCCCTTGGTGGACCAGTCAGGCTTCCCTCTGGCCCTAAGCCCGGGAGGGCCTCAGGTAGCCCCACTTGCGCTCCAAGAGGGCGTAACGTTTCTTGACGCTGGATGTAAGTAGTTTCCACCGCGTCGTTTGCACCACACAGGTTGCACACATCATGCGATAATTCCGTGTGAAGGTCAAGGGGGACAGAAGCGGCCCGACAGACCCCAGCATGATTTCAATATTGTCAGAGTTAAGTTTGTCTGTGGCTCGAGTGGAAGAGCTGGGATGAGGAGGAAGAGGAGGAGGAACCCGAGGAGTAGGAGGAGGGCCGTTGCAGTTCAGAACATTTTTGTTCCGGCTTTTATCGCCCTGCGCTGCCGCGGATCAGCACGGATACCTGCATCATCGCCGGTTTTGTGCCATGGGCACCGAGGAAGTTCGGCTGCCTTCGGCGTCCAGCCATGCAATGGTGGAGAGCTATGTTTCCCGCATGGCCTCGCAGCTGCCCGCGCACTTCGCCTTCGCCACCCTTGCGCCGTGGAGGTCGCCGCAGCGACCCAGCAGGCTCTCCGCACCAGACTCTGCGCCTGAGGGCCACTGGGACGCAGAGGTGATCGCGTCCCTGGCGTCCGAGTGCAACAGCTTGTTGGTGGCATGCACGTTCAAAACGCGATACGAGAAGCGCGTGATGAAGAAGTTGATGGAACAGCTCGAGCCGCACGGTGACTTCTGCGTGTACGTGCTGCAGCTGCTTGAGGTCCCGGGTGAGATGAGCCGGGAGTACGTGCAGGCGGTCATGGCGCGCCACGACGCGCTCTTGGCTGTCGGTGCCAACGCGGTGGTGCTGGATCCCGGTGACGATCCAGATCGGCTGCGCCACAAGCTCGATCAAGAGCGGGCTTGGTTCGAAGCGAATGCGAAGCGTGCTCATTCTATGGTTGTTTCGAACGACGAACACTTCCATCGCGTGCTTAAGTATCACCACAAGCTGCTATGGGAGGCCGTCCCCGAAGCTCTGATGCCAAAGTTCGACCCCATCGATCGTAACCTCGTGGAGACGAGTTACAGGGTGGGCAATTACCAGCTGACCAATCGTTTTAGGGCAAGAAGAGGCACCGTATTGCTTGCCGATCGAAGCGAGTCCGAAAAACTTGTCCTCAAGGTCTACGACAAGTCGATCTGTGTATCTGTTGAAGACTTGGAGTGCATCGATCGCGAATTGCGCTTCTTGAGGGACAGGCTGAGGCACCCGCACATCGTCCGTTGCAGTAGCATGCACCAAAGCTTCTCCCGGGTGTACTTGGCCCTCGAGTTTGGGGGCATGCAGAATTTGCACCAGCGCCTCCACGACCAGCCCGGGTACCGCCTCGATCTGGAGGATGCTGTGGGCTGCGCAATGCAGATAGCAGGAGCGCTTGCCTACTGTCACTCACGGGACGTCGTGCACAGACAAGTGTCTCTGGAGCACATTATCGTGGATGACCAGTATGACAAGCTTTTTTGCCGCTTGGTTGACTTCAACCGGGCGGCGTGCTGCCCTGACTCGACGCCGTCGGTCATGCCGTGCGGAGACTTGCCGTGCATCGCCCCGGAGATGGTCTTGGACGAGTCGTACTTTGCCAAGCCTGCGGACTGCTGGAGCCTCGGGGTGGTGCTTCTCGAGGCCGCTGGGGGCCTGGGCTCGATGAAGCAGGCGGTCGGCTGGCTCGAGAGGGCGGAGCTGGAGCCCACCGCCAGAAGGATCGGGCGGCGCCAAGACGAGGAAAAATCCGTTCCAGAGCGTTTCGGAATGCTCTCCGAGCGTACATAACGCTCTGAGAAGGCCGCCGCGCCCGATCATCCTCCAGACCTGCCGGATCTCAGAGATTGTCGAGTTATCCCCATCCAAGTTTGTCCTCGCCCTGGCCTCATCTCACAGGATCCAGAGCTTCTTCTCCGGCAATGGCAGCCATGCTCGCGCACTGGCGATCATGGGCGGCGTGCGCAGTGAGCCAGTGCTGGCTAAGCTGTCCGCACTCCTCGAGCCGAGGCCCGCGGCTCGGGCGGCCATGGGAGTCATCGCGCAGTCCTCCGCCTAGTCCCGCGGCTCCTCGGAGGGCCCCGAGGGGCCAGAACAAGGAGGGGCTCCGTGAGTTGGAGCGTGAGTTGAGCCTCGCTCCCTCTCTACCCACTGCGCAGTAGTGCCATGCCGTGCTACGCAGCAGATTTGGCCAGCGGTCGGGCAAGTCAGGCTAGCCTCTGTCCTGGCCGCGTGGCCAAAGGCTTTGCTTGCGGCGCACGCTGCGCCCAGCCGCCGACTTGAGTTCTCATCCATCACGTCTCCTTCCACTCGTTCTTGCCTGCAGGAGGTGGGGCGCTGGCCAGGCATGCGAGAGCATGCCGCATCATCTGCCTTGTCCTCGCTCCTCGCCGAATGCGGCAACTCCAGAGCTCGACAAGAGCGTGAAGCTCGCTGGCGCTGTGGTGCAGGCCATCGTTTGGCCGATACTCTGAGGGGCACGTTGCACCCACAGGCTGATTGGAGCTGGGGTTATTGTAAGCACGCGGCACGAACTGAAGCTTCTCTTCATGGTTTACTTGGGTATGGTCCCGCCCATTGCTTTTCTCGCGCGAGCGTGAGATCTAGGGGGCACGCCCCCCTCACGCGAGCGTGACGCTTTAAATCGTATTGAGGCACCGCCTTCGACAGAAACCCATGATTGAGCCGTGCACAGCTCGTTTCAATGATTTTCACTTAGCTGTCCCCTGCGCACC